TTTTTTTTTTAAATTTAAGGATCCATTTCGTGAAGCTAAATTAATGGCTGCTGATGCTGTACGTCGTGCATTTGATGCAATTGATTATACATCTGATCCACCATTAAATGTTCCGGATAACTATAAACATATGATTTGGTTTACATTACCAATTGATATTGCTCTAATGATGATTAAACAAAAAGATAGTGCAGAAGATTTAAATTGTAATATTAATTCAATTCCATTTATGCCAACAGATGCAAAGGTTAATTGATAAAAAACAAAATCTTTCTATTCTCTTTTTATTTTTTATAGGAAAAACTCATCAATTCACCTAAAACAAGTGAATTATCAAATACTAGTGAAACTCGGAAGAAACATAATTCTGTTCGTGGTACATCATCGATTCGTGTTCGGTGATTAAAGAAGAAAATAATATGCTAGCAAAAATAAAAAGGAAACTTTATTTTATGTGTTTTTCTGTAATATGTATTCACATATTTAATATTATTTTTTTTTTTTCATTGTGTAAATATACAAAAACTCTAATCAGAACTAACGGAAAAGATTATTATATTGTTTTTTATTTCTATACATAATCAAATAACTTCAAACGCATCTTTTTGGTTAAACAAATATATAAAAAAAAAGATTTTTGTTAAAGTATGAAACGTGTTTATAAGTAGGAGGAATAACAGGTTTTGTGTATTAAATATTGACCTTTATTCATAAGGATAAATCAATGTACATTACATTGAATATTTGCAATAGAAAAGAAGAAAAAAAACTTCAATTGATTGTTCGATTAATCATTAAATCCTTACTATTGGTTTATTATTATTATTCATAAGAATAATTGTTTGACTAATGTAAATTTGATTGTCATTGAAAAGAAAAGAAAAAATAAATGTCATTTTCTATTTGTTATCATTCTTAATTGAATATAATAGTAAGAGAATGTTATTTGAAATCTATTTTTTTCTTTTGTATTTAACAACAAATTTTGCTTTACAACTTAATTTTTATACATCAGTGGGACAATTTCGAGATGAAATTTTAGTAAATAATGGATATTTTCAAACATATTTTACTAATGAAGAATATCATGCTATTATACCGTAAGTTGAAAAAAATGAAAATGAAAATTCGAAAGATATATTTATTTTATTAGAGGAACAATTGATTTTCCTGATCAAAAATTAATTGAACAAGATTTATATAATTCAAATGAAGAATTACGTAATACAGATGTTTATATTCATTTAAATCAATGTGAAAATAGTCAAACATTAAAAGCACAACTAATTGATCCATATTTATTTTTAATAAAATATAGTTCATTACGATATATGTATGTAAAACGTGAACAGATTGAATTTAGTAAAGATCCATTAATGGATGGAATGATTTTATCTGTTCGGCTAGAGAATGAAACTATAACAAAAACAAATATAACTTATTTAACTCGTGGTCTTTCGTGGACACCAAGATATGAAGTTATTATTAATGATGATCAATGTATGATTTTATTCTATTGAATTATTTCTTTTTTTTAATTTAAATTATTTTAGCTGCTGTTCTTCGAGCATTAGCTGATATTAATAATGAACATGAACGTTCATATAATATTACTAGTAGTCAATTGATTACTGGAAGTGTGCCAATAGCTTCAGCATCTCATCGAGTACCAACATCAATAGATACACAACGTATAGAATATTTAGCAAGTCCTATGATGGATACATCTTCATCAATATCATCGAAACCTGATTCAACAAATTTCGGTACATATTCTTATAATATAACACGTCAATTTCATCTTCGACCAAAATCTATTAAAACATTTCCATTTCTAACAACTACAATTAAATTTAATTATACACTTGAAACAACAACATATTTATCAACGGGTACCACATATGGTTTATTTCAAAGAGTATTTATTATACAACCATCAGAATTTTTACCTGCTGGTACAATAACATTTTATTTAGCATCAACCGGTATAACTTTAGGTCAAGGTCGTTTAATAGATACACCAAAACAGAGTGAACAAAAAATAAATTTAGGAAATGATCCTGATGTTAAATTTCATATAATTAGTATTATAACAGCTGTACGACAAACACCAATATATGGACAAGATCTTAGTGTAAATGTTACGATTTCCAATCCAAAAGATAACCAAATTGTTTCAGTTACATTAAATATTAATAGTGGATATCGTAATACAACATTAATAAGACGAAATCAATCATCATCAAATATAACAATAGATCAAGATTTAAATAATAAAGCTTTATTAATTATTCGAGCAATGATTCAACCAAATGAAGATGAAACATGCATGTTTGCTGTTATACAATCGAACTAAAGTTTTGTTTTTGTTGAATAAAATTGTTTTTTTTTATTTTTGAAATGAGAATATAAATAAAATCATATATTATATTCGCGTATTAGTATACTTTTAGATTTCTAAGATATATCCGTCATCAATAGACATCTGTCGAACATAACATACATAGGCCAATGAATGAATGATATCGTTAGAAAAAATGGATATTGATGATTCATACTCATTAAGTCTTTCTCAAATGTCTGGATTGATCAAAATAATTTTTAAAATCGAAAAACAACAACAATGACATATCGATTTTCTTATTTATTTTCTATATTCTTTTATTCAAAAATATTATAGTATCAATGTCGTTCTTTTTAACTTCACTTTATCTGTTCTCTTTTTATCATAATCGAATCACACATGTATATAGATATATATATATATATATATATATATGCATACAAGGTAAGCTTGAAGTTTATTTTATCGAAAAGAAGACTCGTATAGACATATATAACTAAAATAATATCAATGAATAATAGTCAATTCTTATCAACATCATTTTTTCAATCAGATATTTGGTTATTTAGTATATATATTATCGGTACATTTGAATTTGTTTTTTGGTTATGTAATAGTTTTTTAATTTGTATTGAAATATTTGATTTTCCATCAATTGATAAATATCGAATACAAAAACATAAGAAAAAACTACGTTTTCAACCTGATCTAATACAATTAATGAAGAAAGAAACAATTCGTCATCAAATATCAATTATTATCTTAACACCATTGCTTTATTATATTTTAAATTATTTCGGTCATCTTGACATTCAAGGACCTCGACCATCATGGTTAACAATAATTTATCAACTTATTCTTTTCATTCTTTCCGAAGATGCAATTTTCTTTTGGACACATTATTTATTACATACACCATGGTTATATAAAACAATACATAAAAAACATCATATTTATAAACAACCAACAGGTGTAGTTTCAATTTTAAGTGATCCTATTGAAGGTTTACAAAATCAGTTAGCTGTTTGGTTTATGCCCGTTCTATTAAAAGAAAAACATATATTTACATTGTGTATTTGGATTGCTATACGTGTCTATCAAACAGTGAATGCACATTCAGGTTATAATTTGCCTTATGTTAGTACACAATATTGGGTACCATGGATTATGTCAGGTACTTTAGCACATGATTTTCATCATCAACATGGTAAATGGAATTATGGATCATTTTTTAATATTTGGGATCGATTAATGGGCACACATCGTCTATCAACAAACTATAAAACAAACTGATTGATAGGAGAAGAAGAAGAAAAAAACAATGTATCATGTACTCGTTAATAACTTATTAAAGACGAGAAGAAGAAAAAAAACGAACCTACTACCATATGTCTAATCATTTGAGATGTGTTTGATTGATGAGAAATTGAATGCATACATTCGTTCATGCTTATAATAGTATTTAATCATTTATCACATTATAGAGATATACCCTTCCATCTTGTTAGAATTCTTATCTATATGTAATATTATAAAGAAGACAAAAATCTATATAAGCACATAAAAGAGATAGTAAATATGATGAGAATAGTATTGATTCAATTCTTACCATCTTCATTGCTAGTTGTTGTTGTCATTGTTTTATTAAAATCATATAGAAGAAAATGTCAATTATTTTTCTCCCACCTTTCTTTTCTTTCTTCATTCTATTCTTTAATCATTGATAGCTACAAAAAAAGTAATTCCGTTTTATAAACATAAAAATATTTTTCTGTCCTTACTTTCATTTCTATACAAACATGATTTCTATTTCGAAAAGAAAAGAAAATATATGATTAACTTCTATTCATAGACAAAAAAACTTCTTAATATATGTATGATTTTAAACCTACATGTTCTAGATATATATAGCCTCAGTGAATAATTTATTTCTCATTGTATTTTTCTCAATATAAAAAATGTCATTTACAAATTATCGAAATCCAAATGCAAATCGATCAAGTAATACAAATGATGAAAATTCAAAAGATCTGAAATCAAATATTCGTGAAAGTCGTTGGATTCAACCTGAACAATGGCAATCACCTGAAGTTCAAGAAAAATTTGATAAAGTAAAAAATAATCATTAATAAATATTAAATATTTTCAAAACAATTTTTTTTCGTTTAGGGAGCTATAGATTTTCCTTCAGTACATGGAATGCTTCAACAATTAGGTATTAAAGTTCAAAAATTTGAATTAAATAAAATTCTTGAACAACATGATCGAAATAAAGATGGTCATATGAATAAAGAAGAATTTGAAGAAGTAAATAAAATAAAAATATTCTTGTTTTTCTTCTTATTATTAATGAATTTTTAAATACGAATAGCTTTATTTAAAACTACGTGCGGAGAAAGATCCAGGTAGTACGTGGGGACGTTCTGTTAAACCAACTGGTGGTGTTGATCGATTTGTTACTATACGACGAGATTCAACTGATGATTTAGATTCAACATCATCTGCTGTTGAACAAAAACAAGAAGCATCTGGGCCATATCATAGTGTGTTAATTGAAGAACGTGAATGGAGTGCCAACTGGATAAATCAGTATGTAGTTTTGATGAATATTATTGAAATATATATATATATATATATTGCTTTTATTCATAGACTACTTGCTGATGATGTTCATTTAAATTTACGTGCTAATCCTATCGATACAAAAGATTCACAAGCACTTTATAAACGATGTCAAGATGGTATCTTACTTTGGTATTTATATCGTATTTTCTTTGTTTTAATCGATCAAAAACATTTATTTTTAGTAAATTGATCAATATTGCTGTACCTAAAACAATTGATGAACGTGCGATTAATTTAAATTTATCTAAACAAGATATATTTCGACAAAGTGAAAATTTAGAACTTGGTAATTATATATACAAAACAAATATATTCTCATATTTTTCATTCTTTTTTTCTAAATAGCTATTAATTCTGCACGTGGTATTGGTTGTAAAGTAGTTAATATTCATCCTGAAAATATTTCTAAAGCTGTCCCACATCTTGTTATGGGTCTACTTTGGCAAATTATTCGAGTAAATATTTTTCTTAATAAATATATTTTTTGCAAATAAAAAATATTTGATTAGGTTCAATTAACAAATGAAATTAATTTAAAACATGTTCCTGGTCTTATATTACTCTTACGTGATGGTGAAACAGCTGAAGATCTATTAAAATTATCACCTGAAGAATTATTATTACGATGGTTTAATTATCAACTACAACGAACACAATATAGTGGCAAACAAGTATCAAATTTTAGTAATGATATTAAAGTAAATTTATTTCAAAATTTTGTTCAAGGCAA